GGGAGCTGAGTCCAAAGAGGTTGCTCTGAGGCAGGAGTTGGGCCTGTAGACACAGCCGGGATGAAGAGCTGGGCCTGGAGTGGACACCAGGAGGCTGCAGCAGGGTCTGGAGAGGACAACTTGAGGAGTTTCTGGGCCTGGAGAGGCCACGAAAAGGGGACAAACTGGGCCCAGAACGGCCACTGTGAGGGGTGAGCAGGGCCTGAGGAGGCCATCGGGAAGCAGGAGAGGGGCCTGTCGAAACTACTGGAAGGCTGGAGCTTTGGACTGGGGAGGCCGCAGTGAGGCTTCGGCCTGGGCATGGGAGAGTCCACTGTGAGGCAGAAGCTGGGCCTTCAGGAGGCAGGAGGCTGCGCCCTGAGAGACTGATGGGAGGACATTGTGCACCTGGAGAGGCAGCTGAGAGGAGAGAGCTGGGCCGGGGGTGGCTGAGTTGAGGACGATTTGGGTCTGCAGAGGACACTGGGAGGCAGGAGCTGGCCCTGGAGAGGCCAATTTGAGGGCAACTTGGGCCTGCAGATGCCACCGGGAGGAAGACCCGGGCCCGGAGAGGCCAACTGGAGAATGTGCGGGGCCAGGAGAAGATGCAAACCTGGAAACGCTAGGCCTGGAAAGGATGCCATCAAGTCATGAGCTTGGCCTATGGAGGCCATTGGGAGGCAGGAGCTGGGCCTGCAGATGCCGCCGAAGGGTAGGAACTTGGCCCGATAGGCCCAACACAAGGCAAGAGGCGGATCCGGAGAGGGCCCACTGTGAGGTAGAAGCTGGACCTGGAGAGGCCGCCCACAGGCAGGGGCTTGGCCTGGAGAGGCCAAGAGAGGCATGATCTGGGCCCCAGTGGGCCGGCATGAGGGAGGACATCAGCCTAGAGAGGCCAGTGTTAGGCAGGAGCTCACACCTTTGGGTGGGCCGCAAGAGACATGAGTTGGGCCAAAACAAGCCACAGTGCAGTAGGAAATGGGCCTGGAGAGCCTGGCTTGAGGACGTTTTGGGCCTACAAATGCTGCCAGTTGTGCGGTAGCTGAGTCCAAAGAGGTTACTGTGAGGCAGGAGTTAGGCCTGTACAGGCAGCTGAGAGGAAGAGCTGGGCCTGGAGAGGATGCCGGAAAGCTGCAGCTGGGTCTAGAGATTCCGACTTGAGGAGCTCCTGGGCCAGGGGAGGATGCCAAAAGGGGACAAAGTGGGCCAGGAAAGGCCGTTGTGAGGAGTGAGCTGGGTCTGAGGAGGCCATTGGGAGGCAGGAGTGGGGCATGTTGAAGCTGCCGGAAGGCAGGAGCTTTGGACTGGTGAGGCTGCAGTGAAGCTGCAGACTGGACATGGGAGAGTCCTCTGTGAGGCAGAGGCTGGGCCTGTATATGGGCCTTCGGGATTCAGGAGGCTGGGCCCGGAGATGACGACTGGAGGTCAAGTTCTGGGTCTGAAGAGGCTGCCAAAAGTCAAAAGTGGGGCCTGGGAAGGGGCCGAGAGGCCTGAGCTGGGCTGGGCCTAAAGAGGCCATCAGGAGGCAGGCAGAGCTGAGCCTGGAGAGGCTGACGGGAGGAAGATGTGCACTTGGAGAGGCCGCCGAGAGGCAAGAGCTGGGAAGGGTGAGGCCGACTTGAGTATGACTTGGGCCTGCAGAGGAATCGGGGAGGCAGGAGCTGGCACTGGAGAGGCCGACTTGAGGGCAACCTGGGCCTGCAGAGGCTGCTGGGAGGAAGAGCCGGGCCTGGAGAGCCCAACTGGAGGAAATGCTGGGCCTGGAGAGGATGCAAAGCAGGAATCGCTAGGCCTGGAAAGGCCGCCGTCGAGGCATGAGCTTGGCCTATGAGGCCACTGGGAGGCAGGAGCTGGGCCTGCAGAGCCTGCTGAAGGGCAGAAGCTTGGCTGGAGGGGGCCATGGTGAGGCAAGAGGCGGGCCCGGAGAGGGCCCATTGTGAGGTAGAGGCTGGGAATGGAGATGCCGCCCACAGGCAGGGCCTGGGCCTTGAGAGTCCACGAAAAGCATGAGCTGGGCCCCAGCAGGCCAGCGTGAGGGAGGACGTCGGCCCAGAGAGGCCAGTGTGAGGCAGGACCTCACACCTCTGGGCGGGCTGCGAGAGGCATGACATGGGCCGAAACAGGACATGGTGCAGGAGGAGATGGACATGATAAGGCTGCCGGGAGACAGGTAGGCAGGAACCTGGCCCCGGGAAGCAGCTGTGGGGCAAGAGCTGGGCCTGGAGAGGCCCCTGGGAGGCAAGCGCGGGGCCCGCAGAGGCTGTTCTCCAGCCGGAGCTGGATCTGTGCAGGCCACCGGGAGGCAGAAGGTGGGCCTACAGAGCTCTGGCGGGGGAAAGGTTTGAGCCTACAAAGGCTGGCGGGAGCTGGGAAGGAGCTGAGCCCACAGTGGTTGCTTGTTGCGAGGCAGGAGTCGGGCCTATCAATGCAGCCAGGAGGAAGGGGAAGGGCTGGGCCTGGAGAGGCTGCCATGAGGGAGGCAGAGAATGGGCCTCTACAGGACGATGGGAGGCAGCAGCTGGCCCTGGAGGGACCCACATGACTCCCCGTGTTGCACCAGGAGAGGCCACCAGGTGGCCGGAGCTTTGCCTGGGGAGGTCTTCAGGACAATGTGGGGGCCTGCAGAGCGCACTTGGCCTGAGGGGAGATGGCAAGGCAAGAGGCAGGCCTGGAGAGGGCCCACTGCAAGGTAGAGGCTGGCCCTGGAGAGGCCACTCACAGGCAGGGGCTGGGCCTGGAGTGGCCACGAGAGGTATGAGCTGGGCCCCAAAGGGCCGGCGTGATGGAGGACCTCGGCCGAGAGAGGCTAGTGTGAGGCAGGAGCTCACACCTCTGGGCGGGCCGCTAGAGGCATGAGTTGGGCCGAAATAGGCCATGGTGCGGGAGGAGCTGGGCCTGTCGAGGCTGCCAGGAGGTAGGCAGGCAGGAATCTTGCCCTGGGAAGTCACCGGGAGGTGAGAGCCGGGCCTGGAGAGGGCTCTGGGAGGCAAGCGCGGGGCCCTCAGAGGCTGTTCTCCTGCCAGAGCTGGGTCTGTGCAGGCCACCGGGAGGCAGACGGTGGGCCTACAGAGCTCTGGCTGGAGTAAGGTTTGGACCTACAATGGCTGGCATGAGCTGAGAAGGATCTGAGCCCACAGACATTGCTTTTTGTGAAGTGAGGGTAGGGTCTGTCGACACTGCCAGGAGGAGGGGTAAGCCTGGAGCGGCCACCACGAGGGAGGCAGAGGCTGGGCCTCTACAGGCCGATGGGAGGGAGGAGCTGGCCTTGGAAGGCCCAATTGAGGCCCCGTGTTGTGCCTGGAGAGTCAGCTGGGGTGCTGGAGCTGGGCCTGGAGAGGCTGACTTCAGGACGATGTGGGGGCCTGCAGAGGCTGCTGGAAGGCTCCAGCTGGTGCTAGAGGAGCCGCCTGGTGGAAATTTGGGGGCCTGGACACTCCGTCGGAGGCCTGGAGCTGAGCCTCCTGGAGAGGCCACCGTGAGGCCTGAGCTGGGCCTGGAGAGCTTGTCTTGAGGAAGTTTTTAGCCTACAAAGGCTGCCAGGAGCTGGGTGGGAGCTGAGTCCAAAGAGGTTACTGTGAGGCAGGAGTTGGACTTGTAGACACAGCCAGGAGGAAGAGCTGGGCCTGGAGAGGACACTGGGAGGCTGCAGCTGGGTCTGGAGAGGCCGACATGAGGAGGTTCTGGGCCTGGAGAGGCCTACGAAAGCAGACAAACTAGGCCCGGAAAGGACGTAGTGTGGGGTGAGCTGGGCCTGAGGAGGCCATCGGGAGGCAGGAGTGGGGCCTGTCAAAGCTGCTGGAAGACAGGAGCTTTGGACTAGGGAGGCCGCAGTGAGGCTGCAGCCTGGGCATGGGAGAGTCCACTGTGAGGCAGAGGCTGGGCCTGTTTTCGTGCCTTTGGGAGGCAGGAGGCTGGGCCCAGAAATGCTGATTTGAAGTCAAGTTCTGGGCCTGAACAGGTTGCCAAAACTTGTAAGCGGGGCCTGGAAGGCCGCCGCGAGGCATAAGCTGGGCTGGGCCTAAAGAGGCCATCGGGAGGCAGGAGAAGCCAGGACTAGAGAGGCTGACAGGAGGTAGTTGTGCACCTGGAAAGGCTGCAGAGTGGCAAGAGCTGGGCCGTGTGTGGCCGTCTTGAGGATGACTTGGGCCTGCAGAGGCCACTGGGAGGCAGGAGCTGACACCGGAAAGGCCGACTTCAGTGCAACTTTGGAGTGCAGAGGCAGCCAGGAGGAAGAGCCAAGCCCGGAGAGGCCAATTGGAGGAAATGCAGGGCCTGGAGAGGATGCAAAGCAGCAAACGCTAGGCCTGGAAAGGCTGCCATCGAGGCATGAACTTGGCCTACGGAGGCCACTGTGAGGCAGGATCTGGGCCTGCAGAGGCTGCCAAAGGGCAGGAGCATGGCCCGAGGGGGCCACAGGGAGGCAAGAGGTGGTCCCGGGGAAGGCCCACTGTGAGGTAGAGGCCCGGCCCAGAGGGGCTGCCCACAGGCAGGGGTTGGGCCTGGAGAGGCCACGAGAGGCATGAACTGGGCCCCAGTGGGCCGGTGTGAGGGAGGACCTTGGCCGATAGAGGCCAGTGTTAGGTAGGAGCTCACACCTCTGGGCGGGTCCCAAGAGGCATGAGTTGGGCCGAAACAGGCCACGCTGCGGGAGGAACTGGGCCTCTTGGGGCTGCTGGAAGGCAGGCAGACAGGTACATGGCCCCAGGAAACCACTGTGAGGTGAGAGCCGGGCCTAGAGAGGCCCAAGGGAGGCAAGCACAGGACCCTCAGATGCTGTTCTCCAGCCAGAGCTGGGTCTGTGCAGGCCACCGTGAGACAGAAGGTGGGCCTACAGAGCTCTGGCTGGAGTAAGGTTTGGGCCTACAAACACTGCCGGTTGCTGGGCAGGAGCTGAGCCCACAGGAGTTGCTTGTTGCAAGGCAGTAGTCAGGCCTGTCAAAGCAGCCAGGAGGAAGGGGAAAGGCTTGGCCTGGAGAGGCTGCCACGAGGGAGGCAGGGTCTGGGCCTCTACAGGCAGAGGGAAGGCAGGAGCTGGCCCTGTAGGGGGCCACTTGAAGCCCCACACTGCACCTGGAGAGGCTGCCGGGAGGCTGAAACTGGGCCTGGAGAGGCCGACTTCAGGACGATGTGGGGGCCTGCAGATGCCACCAGGAGGCCCAGCCTGGCTTAGAGGAGCCGCCTGGATGAAGTTTTGAGGCCTGAAGACTCCGTCAGAGGGCAGGAGCTGAGCCTCCTTGAGAGGCCACCATGAGGCCTGAGCTGGGCCTGGAGAGCTTGGCTTGAGGAAGTTTTGGGCCTACAAAGGCTGCCAGGAGGTGTGCAGGAGCTGAGTCCAAACAGGTTGCTGTGAGGCAGGAGCTGGGCCTGTATACACAGTCAGGATGAAGTGCTGGGCCTGGACAGGCCACCAAAAGGGGACAACCTGGGCCTGTAAAGGCCGCTGGGAGGGGTGAGCTGAGCCTTAGGAGGCCATTGGGAGGCATAAGCGGGGCCTGTTGAAGCTGCCGGAAGGCAGGAACCTCACACTGGAGAGGCTGCAGTGAGGCTGAAGCCTGGGCATCCGAGAGTCCACTGTGTGGCAGAGGCTGGGCCTGTATAATGGCCTTATGGAGGCAGGGGGCTGGACCCGGAGAGGCCGACTGGAGGTCACGCTCTGGGCCTGAAGAGGCCGCCAAAAGTCAAAAGAGGGGCCTGGGAAGGCCGCTGAGAGGTACGAGCTGGGCTGGGCCTAAAGAGGCCATTGGGAGGCAGGAGAAGCTCGGCCTGCAGAGGCTGATGGTAGGAAGTCGTGCACCTGGAGAGGCTGCCGAGAGGCGAGAGCTAGGCAGGGGGAGGCCAACTTGAGGGCAACCTGGGCCTGCAGAAGTCGCCAGGAGGAAGAGCCGGGCCCGGAGAGGCCAACTTGAGGGCAACTTGGACCTGCAGAGGCCGCCAGGAGGAAGAGTTGGTCCTGGAGAGGCCAACTGGAGGAAGTGCAGGGCCTGGAGATGATGCAAAGCAGGAAATTCGAGGCCTGGAAAGGCCACCATCGAGGCATGAGCTTGGCCTATGGAGGCCACTGGGAGGCAGAAGCTGGGCCTACAGAGGCCGCCAAAGGGCAGGAGCTTGGCTTGCATGGGCCATGGCGAGGCAAGAGGTGGGCCCAGAGAGGTCCCACTGTGAGGTAGAGGCTGGGCTTGGAGAGGCCACTCACAGGCAGGGGCTGGCCCTAGAGAGGCCACGAGAGGCATGAGCTGGGCCACAATGGGCCGGCGTGAGGGAGAAACTCGGCCGAGAGAGGCCAGTGTGAGGCAGGAGCTCACACCTCTGGGCGGGCCGCGAGAGGCATGAGTTGGGCCGAAACAGGCCACGGTGTGGGAGAAGCTGGGCATGTCGAGGCTGCTGGGAGGCAGACAGGCAGGAATCTGGCCCCGGGAAGCCACCATGAGGTGAGAGGTGGGCCTGGAGATGCCCCTGGGAGGTAAGTGCGGGGCCCGCAGAGGCTGTTCTCCAGATAGAGCTGCATCTGTGCAGGCCACTGGTAGGCAGAAGGTGGGCCTACAGAGCTCTGGCTGGAGAATGGTTTGTGTCGACAAAGGCTGCCAGGAGGCAGGCAGGAGCTGAGCACACAGAGGTTGCTTGTTGTGAGGTGGGAGTCGGGCCTGTCGACACAGCCAGGAGGAAGGGGAAGGGCTGGGCCTGGAGAGGCCACCACAAGGGAGGCAGTTGCTGGGCCTCTACAGGCATACTAGAGACAGGAGCTGGCCCTGGAGGGGCCCACTTAAGGCCCCTTGTTGCACCTGGAGAGTCCACTGGAAGGCCAGAGCTGGGCCTGGAGAGGCCAACTTCAGGATGATGTGGGGTCCTACAGAGTCCACGAGGAGGCCTAAGCTGGGCCTAGAGGAGTCGCCTGGAGGAAGTTTGGGGGTCTGGAGACTCCATTGGAGGGTTGGAGCTGAGCTTCCTGGAGAGGCCACCGTGAGGTCTGAGCTGGGCCTGGAGAGCTTGGCTTGAGGAAGTTTTGGTCCTACAAAGGCTGCCAGGAGCTGGGCAGGAGCTGAGTCCAAAGAGGTTGCTGTGAGGCAGGAGTTGGGCCTATAGAAGCAACTGGGAAGAAAAGCTGGGCCTGGAGAGGCCGCCAAAAGGGGACGCAATGGTCCCAGAAAGGCCATTGTGAGTGGTGAGATGGGCCTGAGGAGGCCTTTGGAAGGCAGGAGAGGGGCCTGTTGAGGCTGCCAGAAGGCAGGAGCTTCGGACTGGGGAGGCTGCAATGAAGCTGCAGCCTGGGTGTTGGGGAGTCCGCTGTGAGGCAGAGGTTGGGCCTATATACGGGCCTTCGGGAGGCAGGAGGCTGGGCCCGGAGAGGCCAACTGGAGGTCAAGTTCTGGGCCTGTAGAGGCCACCAAAAGTCAAAAACGGGGCCTGGGAAGGTCACCGAGAGGCACCAGCTGGGCTGGGCCTAAAGAGGCTATCGGGAGGCATGAGGAGCTGAGCCTGGAGAGGCTGATGGGAGGAAGTTGTGCACCTGGAGAGGCTGCCGAGAATTGAGAGCTGGGCGTGTGGAGGCCCACTTGAGGATGACTTGGGCCTGCAGAAGCCACCAGGAGGCAGGAGCTGGCCCCAGAGAAGCCGACTTCAGGGAAACATGGCCTAAGGAGGCCACTGTGAGGCAGGAGCTGGGCCTGCAGAGGGCACTGAAGGGCAGGAGCATGGCCTGAGGGGGCCACGGCGAGGCAAAAGGCGGGTCCGTAGAGGGCCCACTGTGAGGTAGAGGCCGCCCACAGGCAGGGGCTGGGCCTGGAGAGGCCACGAGAGTCATGTGCTGGGCCCCAACGGGCCAGAGTGAGGGAGGACCTTGGCCTAGAGAGGCCAGTGAGTGGCAGGAGCTCACACCTCTGGGCGGGCCACGAGAGGCCTGAGTTGGGCCAAAACAGGCCACAGTGCATGAGGAGCTGGGCCTGTTGGGGCTGCTGGGTGGCACGCAGGCAGGAACCTGGTCCCGGGAAGCCGCCATGAGGCGAGAGCTGGGTCTGGAGAGGCCCCTGGGAGGCAAGCGCGAGGCCCTCAGAGGCTGCTCTCCAGCCAGAGCTGGGTCTGTGCAGTCCACCAGGAGGCAGAAGGTGGGCCTACAGAGCTCTGGCTGGAGAAAGATTTGGGCCTACAAAGGCTGGCGGGAGCTGGGAAGGAGCTGAGCCCACAGAGGTTGCTTATTGTGAGGTGGGAGTCAGTCTTGTTGATGCAGCCTGGAGGAAGTGAAAGGGCTGGGCTACTCGGGAGTATATGCACAGCTATGGAGAAATAGGAAATATACGCAGATAAAAACTGGAAAGAAGCTTTCTGTGAAACTGCTTTGTGATAGTTAGGTCTATTCATCTCACATAGATATAATTTTCACCATAGCCATCCATATACTCCCAAATGTCCCTTGGTAGCTTTTTCTCCAAAAGGGATTCCCCATTTCTCCTTGAGAAGAAAGGTGTAACTCTGTGAGCGGGATGCAAACGTCATGAAGCAGCTCCTTGGAAAGCTTCTCTACAGTTTCTATCTGAAGATATTTCCGTTTTCACCATAAGCCTCAAAGCACTCCTGAATATCCCTTCGCAGACTAAACAATATTAGTATTAGAATAATGCTCAATGAAAGGGAAGCTTAACTATGCGAGTGGAATTCACAAAAAACAGAGCTGTTTTACAGAAAATTTCCTTCTGGTTTTTATCTGAAGGTATTAATTTTTCAGCATATTCTGAAGAGTGTTCCCAAATGTCCTTCCTCAGGTTTCACTGAAACAGTGATTTCAAACGGCTCAATTCAAAGAATGATGTAACTTTATGAGATGAATAAACACATCACAAAACAGTTGCTCAGAAAGCTTCTCTCCAGTTTTCAACAGAAGACGTTTCTTTGCTCGCCACAGGCCACCGGTTGCCACTTAATATCCCTTTGCAGAATCCTCAAACACAGACTTCAAAGTGGGAAATGTAGAGTAAGCTTTAACTCTGTTAAATGAATGCACATATCAGAGAGTAGTTTTCTGGAACTCTTCTTTCTGGGTGTTATTTGAGGACATTTCACTTTTTACGATAGTCTACAAAGCACTCTGAAATATCACTTTTTCAGTTTTACACGAACAGTGTTCAAACACTACCTTATGAGGAAAGAGGCATAAGTCCCTGAGTGGAATGCACACATTACAAAGCAGTTTCTCAGAAAGCTTCTCTCCAGTTTTTATCTGAAGAGATTACGTATTTCACCATAATCCTGAATTGCCTCCCGAATGTCCCATTGCGGATCCATCCATGACAGAGTTTCCATGCTGTGTTATGGAAATCAAGATTTATCATCATGAGATGAATAAACATAATAAAAAGCAGATTCACAGAAACCTTCTTTCCAGTTTTTATCTGAAGATATTTCCTATTTCACCATCATCCTGAATGTGCTCCCAAAACTCCTTTCGTGGATGCATCCATGACAGAGTTTCCAACCTGCATAATGTAAAGAAAGCTTTATCTATGTGAGATGAATACATATATCACAGAGCAGCTTCAGAGAAAGCTTCTTTCCAGTTTTTGTCCAAGATTATTTCCCTTTTCACCATAGGCATCAACATGCTCCTGAATATCACTTGATACCTTTTACTCCAAAAGGGTTTCCCCTATGCTGTATGAGAAGAGAGGTAAAACACTGTGAGTGGAATGCACATGTCACAAAACAGTTCCTCAGAAAGCTTCTCTCTAGTTTCTATCTGGACATATTTCCTTTTTCTCCGTAAGATTCAATGCGCTCCTGAATATGCCTTCACACGCTAAAAATAAACAGTTTTAGATAATTGCTCAATGAAAAGAGAAGTTTAACTGAGTGAGAGGAATTCACACGACACATAGTAGTTTCACAGAAAGTTTCTTACTTTTATTTATGTGATTATATTTCTTTCTCCACATTCTAAAGAGCATTCCCAAACATCCTTCCTCAGATTCCACAAAAAGAGTGATATCATACTGCTCAATTCAAAGTATGATTTAACTCTTTGAGATGAATACACACATCACAAAACAGTTGCTCAGAAAGCTTCCCTCCAGTTTTCAATGGAAGACGTTTCCTTGCTCACCAAAGGCCTCTGGGCACCCTTATTATAACTTCACAGATTCTTCAAAGATATAGTTTCCAAATATGGCAACGTAGTGTAAACTTTATCTCTGTGAAATGAATGCACATATCAGAGAGCAGTTTCTTGGAATGCTTCCTCCTGGGTTTTATTTGAGGATATTTCACTTTTCACCATAATCTTCAATGTGCTACGAAATATCCCTTTTTTGGTTTTACAAAAACAGTGTTCAAACACTGCCTTATGAGAAAAGAGGTATAACTCCCTGAGTGGAATATACACATCACAAAGAAGTTTCTCAGAAAGCTTCTCTCCAGTTTTTATCTGAAGATATTATCTATTTCACCATAGGCCTGAATGTGCTCCCAAATATCCGTTCACAGATCAGTCCATGATGGCATTTCAAAACTGAGTAATAGAAAGTTTTATCTATGTAAGACAAATAAACGTATCTATCAAAAAGCAGTTTCACAGAAAGCTTCTTCCCAGTTTTTGTCTGAGAATATTTTCTTTTTCACCATAGCTCTCAATATACTCCCGAATGTCCCCTGGTAGCTTTTTCTCCAAATGGGATTCCCCAATCCTCTATGAGAACAAAAGTATAACTCTGTGTGTGGAATTCACTCGTCACAAAGCAGCTACATGGAAATCTTCTCTCCAGTATCTATCTGAAGATATTTCCGCTTTCACCATAAGCCTCAAAACGCTCCAGAGTATCCCATAGCTAACAAAAGCAGTGTAACAACACTGCTTAATGAAAACAGAAGCTTAACTGTGCATGTGGAAATCACATGACCGAGAGCAGTTTTACAGAAAGCTTCCTTCTGTTTTTTATCGGAGGATATTTCTTTTTCAGCATATCCTTTTTTTTTTTTTCTTTTTCTCTTTTTAATACAAATGATAGCTTACTATACACCATGTTTTGGACCATGTTTTAATTGATTTTTTTAAATTTATTTTTTATTAT